AGCGTGGCCATTCCCCCAGGGGGGGATATATCACTCTTCCTTTCTCCAGCTCTCTGTCTCTCTGATGAGAACGCATATCCTATAGCAAAATCTCTTATAAATAAATAAGTGAACAAATAAATACAGTGGCAGGGACCAGCAGGTGGTGTAGTGTTTAAGGCACCAGGTTCCCATATGGTCCACCACAGTTTCATGGTCGTCTGCAGTTTGGAGTCTCAGACCCAGTGGCTTGAAACTCATGTCAGGTCACGTACACTCATGCCCCAAATGCTAAAAGGAGAATGGAGAAGGGATTACAAGACCATCCCCCCAGGAGGTGATTTCTCGCTTTCTCTGTCTGTCCAGTGAGCAATGTGCCATACAGCAAAAGTCTCCCTAAGTAAATAAATAAATAAATAAAATACAGGGGTAAAGGGAGAATATGTGGCCCCGTAAATAGGCAAGACAAGTACAGGTGCAGGTGGTGTGCTGGCAGACACACGTGATCAACAAGTGAATGCAGCCTTCGTTCGGATCTGTGTTGTCAAGAGAGGCGAGCAGAATTCATGGTTCCCGTGCCCGCCCACAGTGGGACCACCGGAAACAGAATGGGCCTCTCAAACAGCCTTTACAGAAGCTTCGGGTTATAACTGGACTATCGTATTATCTCTTCTTATAAAGAAGCAAGAGAGGATGGGGGGAGCCTAGTAATTATCCCACCACCACAGAATAGATAAATTCTAAATCTATGCCATATTATGTTGAACAATAGTGTCACTGAAAAGATTCTCTCTTTCTAAAAAAACAAAGGTTTTTGCCATTGGGCGCGTGAACTTTCTAGAGAGAGACAGAGAGAGGGAAAGTGTGAAACCCCGCCCAGCAGGGATGGCCACACCTCAATCCCTTCTCCTCCATTCTCCTCTTGGGTTTCTAAGCACATACACACATATGCCCAGCAGGATTTTCAGGCTGCTCGGTCCAAGACTTGAACCATGGTCAGCCACGTGGGAATCCAGAGCCTTAACCACCACACCACCTACTGACCCCGCTAGGATTCTTCAAGTATGTTGCAAAGGCATCCAATTAACTGTCTGAATATCTTCCAAAGAATTTTTATATGAAATCTTAACAGCAAAAATAGGCTATATAACAATTTTCTTCACTTATTCAAAAGTCACTTCACAAGTTTATAGCTCCCTAGAAACATCATCAGCAAACAGTACCAGGCGGAAGAAGAAAACACTAGTTTTTCTGAGTTTGTATACGTGAGTTCAGACGGATCGCCACAAAACGGCAAGTTGCTAGTGTCACACACACTTTCTCAGTCAAACCTCTGAAAGTGTGTGTTCTCTCTTCAAATCCTTCCCAGTATTAGGCACTTGCATCCTACTGGGAACAAGGTGAGGCATTGTCCCCAAAAATTCTCAGCGAACACTCTCAAGACCTCTGAGCTAGGGATAAGGAGGGAGGGGGTGTGCTTCCAATGCCATGGTGCCCGGGCACCTCAACTGCAGTGAGGTCTCCACTCTCCAGTCCTCACTATGGGGGAGCTCTCCCACCGCCCGGCCACACAGGGATCAAAGAAGGATCCCCACAGATCAGGACGGAGCCCTAAGAGAAGGCTACATAGTTACTCCGATTTGATGGTCTGTTCAGACAGAAGACTAGACCAAAACAAATAAAAGCAACAACACAATCCATGACTTCCTGAGAGTCTACAACCAGCTTTTCTGTAACAAAGCCTTGCCTCAGTTACACTTCTACTAGAAACTGTCTCCTCAGAGAACTAATTAACAGCAGAGAAAAAGTATTCAGAAACAATGTTTAAAGCGCTTTTGGAGAAGCTATCAGCAAGCGCCACCTAGTGTCATACTCCCAATACCTCTGCTAGGCAGCAGCTGGGTAGTGAACCTAAAATGCACATTGTTACTTATCAGCAAAGCTTTAAGTAGTCTAAAATGTATACTTCCCTATCACTGAGACATCCTGTGTTTCAGGAAACTCAGGCTACTCTCCCTGATCAATAAGACAGTAACATTTATGCAGGAGGTATTTGCTTTACTGAAAATGTAGGGTTACAATAATGTACAGTATAAGCTTTTATCAGACTTTTTTCATATAAAGGTCCCTTCCCAGCCTGAGGAGCAGTCTTGGCGGCTCCCACACTGTGGCGGGGTCTGTGTACTAATACATTCTGGGTACCTTATTAGGTTAAATTACTGCTAGTCTCCAGCGCTGCTTGAAAAGTTCTACAATAAAACAGAGTAAATTGCCATACAGAATTTCTTTACAAAAATAAAAATTCTAACAATTACCTAAGTCCTTTCCAAGTAGCTCACTTATCAGCCCAGCAAGGGAAGAGCCATTTACCAACAGCGAGTCAATTAAATCGTGTTTGACCACAGCGGCCAGAGAAACGTGTACGGAGAAAACACGCCTTTGGCCGCCCACTGGCTTTTATGTGAGAATAGCTGCTTATGCAGTGGTGGACACTGGGGCGACATCGGAGCCGGTTACAGGGACAAATGATTCCGAACGCTGTCCTCCTCTCACCACAGTTACCAGCAAGGTACTCGCTCCCGGAACCACTGGGTTGTGGAGGAGTCTATGTCAAGTTTGCCATGGCTGAAGAACTGGCCTCAAAACCGTCTTCAGGGCGCAACTATGGGCAGGAGCGACCTTGAGCAACCTTGAATCCGGAACAACCAGAAGTGGGGTCTACACATCAGAACCGAGTCTGGCAGGAAAAGGCTTAGTTAGACGTCTGCAACCTGACCACTGAACTCGAATTAGACCTGGTCATTAGCTCCTGCTCCAATGTGATTTTTCTTAATAAATTAAACCTAAAATTACAAAGCAAAGCACAGTTAATATAAGAAACACTGCAATCAAGTCCTCGGATGACAACTGGGCCCTCTAGGGTCACAAGTAACCCCACCTACTGCGCATACGTCCCAAGCCCACGACCATCAGCGGAAGGAGGGGGAGAGCCCACCCCACACAGACGTGGCGTGCGTGTACCTTGCAAGTCCACACCACGGCCCACTGTGGCTTTTCGGACCACCGTGCAAGCACGAAGTAAATGCCCACACTGCACGTTCTCTTAACTGAGCACCTGGGGAGCTTCCACCTAACCTTGGGGTGATTAGGCTGTCACGTGAGGGCGTGCTAAAAGGCGAACGTCAAGAGGAGACTAGAAGAACGACAAGTGGCTTCCCAGTGCTGAGCCTGCTCGGCAGGATCACCGCCCTGTGAACTGGCTCATGGTTTGTTGAAGCTGAGGGAAAAGATGTTTTCCAAAAATGAAACATATACCATCTCATGGCAGATCAGCCCTGACAGATGAAGCATCGTGTTGGATTTAATGCTAGGAAACTCTAACTGAACCACAGTTAAGTCAAACATCATCTCCTGAAAAAAAAAAAATCAATATTCTCATTAACAGACCGAAATTACAAAAAGGTTTTAATAAATTAAATGCGTATCTCAAACTTATCAAGTAATCTACACCTCTGATTTTCCTATCTATCCCCCAACAAAAACTGCTGTCCAGCTTAACATGTGTAAATTCCATTCTTCGGGTTGATCTCCTCCTCCATGTCATCAGTAAAACTGGTTGGCTTTATCTGCAAAACTATAGCCAGAATCTAAAACTGGGTACCCAGAATCTTCTCACCGTATCTGGCACCAGCCTGGTTTAAGCTACCGACACTCCACTCACTCTCACACCCTTCTACCAGGTCTTCTGGCTTCCTCTTGCCTCCCCCAAGTCACAGTAACCTGGGACTTCCTTTTAAATTCCAAGCCGAATCATGGGACTCTCAACGGAAAATCCTCCCATGGTTTCTCATCTCACTTGCCTTAGCACGATGGGCTCTCCCTCCCTGGAATCACTTCTCCCCTGGCCTCTCCCACTCACCCTGGGCTCACTCCTTCTCACCTGCACTCCCCTGGGAGCGTTTTCTCCAACTTGCCTTTCCATCCTATGTCAGAATACTTAGCTAGCTCTTCGGCCGACTAAAACGTGTCCTCAGTCCTCTCTGTCGAGTCTGCGTAACTCTCACCTTCTCCCAGAGGCCATCTGTCATCGCCCTGCGTAACTAGAACGAGTCTTTCATGCTGTCCCCCACCTGCCCACGGCGTTGACGACTGTGCCTAGGACAGAGGATGTGCTCCACAAATATCTCCCAAATAAATGAACAGAGAAAAACCCTGGTGTGTGTGTGAGGAACGCTCCCTCCACCCCTCCTCACGTAAGCGCGACACGTGTGTGCGTGCACACGGCTGGCTTACCATCGCGCTCAGTGCCTCCTCCCAGTCGGGCCGCTCTCGGGGGTGAACGTTTCTATGCAGCTCTGGAACAAGGTCATCCTCTTCAGAATGCACTGAGGACTTCATCTTCCTAGAGATCAAAGCAGGAGAGAATCGGTGAGAATTTCTACCCCTACGAAAGCTTTCCCATGTTCACGATTCAAAGAGCACAAAAAGTACATGCCAGAAAATCGTACGTCAGAATTCCAGTTTAAAAAGATTAAGTGAAATATTAGAAAAGAACAAAAAGGGGCCAGCAGGTGGCACAGGGGTTAAAGGTACTGGACTCCCACATGGCCAACAGCGGTTTGAATCCCGGCCCTGGCGGCTTGCTTTCTCGCCTTCCCTTTATATCTCTGTCTCTCTCTGGTCAAAATAAAGAAATGACAACAAATGGAATTAAATAAATAAATGATAGGAAAAACAAGCTTACTAAGTGTCTAGCATGGGCCTCACATTTCCACTGTGGTTTTCAGAGGTCTTTCCTGATGGGTGCAACACCCCCGTTATTTAAGGAGATAACAGTAAGGTTTATACCTAGCTAACCATCATGGCCTTTGGTCATCAGTACATAGATTACATAACTGTATTATTTTAATCTGGTCAACACAATTTGAATCTTGAAAAGATCGCAATGCCAACTATTTGCTTGGTAAGAACTGTGCCAGTTTCACGTTAGTGAAACTCCAGTAGGAAGAAGTGAGAAGGGACTTCTGGCTCTGATCTCCGCAGCGAGCACGTGAACCAGCACGCCTGACAGTCCTGGCTGCGAACACGGGTCAAAGCCTGCGACGCTGACTCGCCTGAAGGTGCAGGAGAGCGACCAGGGCAGCAAGACTCCTAGGGCTACGCCCTGGAAAGTTAGGGAAGGAAGCTCAATAAAGTGATCCCCACACTTATTCTTTTTGCTTAATAAATGTTTTTATATCAATGATGTAAAGTAGGGCACGGGCATACCATTGTCATCGACGTATCTGAGGAGGCAGAGGCTGGAGGCTGGGTTTCCCGAAGCCTCAGGGAATAAAATGCTCCCCAAAAAGACATAAAAAGAGCCCCAAAATATAACAAAGAAATTATCCTCAAATCATTAATATTGTTAAACTTACAAATACACCGGACAGGATACACAGAAACCCACAAAAACCACCTGAAAGAGCCGGGTCGCGACTCTACTGGCTCAGCAACCTTAGGACACAGAGGCTGGCCATGCGCCCTGCCCAGGCAGAAGAGCACTGAGGAAAAGCCATTCAGCGGAGACTCCAGAAAACCACGCCTTCGAGTGAGAACAGAGCAGCAATACACAACGCTAACAAAGCCAAATTCCAAGCCTTGGCAGAGCTTAAGTACTGGGAAAAAAATTAACTCCAGACTCTCCAAATTTTTCATTCATATTACATGGTACCTAATAACATTATAAGGCATGCCTTAAAAATAAAAAATAAGAACAAAAGAAAAATAGTCCAAACAGAAAGACTCACTTTTGGGACCAGCAGTTAGCGTAATGGCTATGTTGCTGGACACTTACGTAGCCGACTGCAGTTTGAGTCCCAGACCCTGTGGCTTAAACCCATGCCGGGCGCGTGTATGTGCGTGCCCAAGATCCTGAGAGAAGAATGGAGGAGAAGGGATTGAGGCGTGGCCATCCCCCCTGAGGGGTAATTTCTCACTTTCTATCTCTGTCTCTCTCTTTCTGGCGAGCGCACGTGCCCTATAGCAAAAAAAACTCTCCAAATAAATAAATAAATAAATAAAAAGAAAGACTCACTTTCAATTAAGATTTTAGAATCATCAGAAAGGGACTTTAAGATGGCTATATTAATTTGTGGTTTCTGCTTATGATACAGAAAGATATAAAGAATATCACTCCTAGCCTAAAATGAAGAACTGACAGATAAGCTATGAAATCATAATTTTTCTAGAACACACTAAAGAGAAAACCAAAAAACAATAAACAAAACTGAGGTCTTGGGGCAACCAACTGGCCTAAACTCTGAGGAAAAAAAGAATCCTCTCCAACATGAAATGGATTACAAGCAATTACTTTCTTAGGGTAAAGCACAGGGAAAAGAAAAATACCTAGGTGTAAAAAGAATTCAGTTAAATTTTTATCATGTTGCTAAGAACATTTATATTAATGTGTTCAATGAAATGAAAGAGGAAAGTGGAAGGTTTCAACAAGAATTGGAATCTATGAAAAATGTTCGTTCTAATACTGAAAAATACATCTATATAATTAAGAACTTGCTAGATAAGTTTAACAAAGCAATGGACATAGCTAAAGAGAGGACCAGTCAACTGGAAAGCAGTTCTGTAGAAAATACCCATAATGAAGTACACAGGGAAGAAAAGGGACAGGAAACACACACAGACACACACACACACACACACACTACTGTAAAAGACAGGAAACCCGGTAAAGGTCTCATATATGTCTAAATTGATGACTTATGGATAAGAACAGTGATGAAAAAGAAAAATAGAAGAAAACAAAATTCAAAAACTAATGGTATGTGGATGCCATCAATTAGGAATAGGAAAATGGGATAAAAATTCCAATTAAACTATAAAAATCATAGGATAGATTTGAAAAGCAACTATATCCTATGAGACATACTTAAAATAAAAGGACACCAAAAGGTGGAAAACAGAAGAATGAAAAGAGCAACAGCAAGGCTGGCAACTAACATCAGTTAACGCAGACCTCAGGCCAGAGGTATTATTACAGACAGCGGGGACGCTCCACAGTGAGAAGCCAACGGGTTAGTATAATTTGCATGAACAAATAACACAGCTTCAAAATACATAAGGCAGAATCTGAAAGGATTAAAAGACAGTTAAATCCAAAAATTTCTTAGTTACTGACAGAATAAGTAGACAGAAACGTCTTCGGTATACATATTTGAGCAATCCAATTTCCCAATTTAATTCAACCCTATGAGTACAGAATACACATATTATTTCCAAATACATAGGAAACATTTATCAAAGCCAAAATATTAGACAACAAAGCAAGCCTTAACAAGTATAAAGAATTTAAGTCATGAATTATGTGTTTTGAGACCACTATAGAATTACGCTAACATCAGTTACCAAAAGATAACTAGAAATTCCCAAATGTTTGAAAATTAAGAAGCAATTCTGAGTAACTTGTGAATCAAAAACAAAAATTACAATGAACGTTAGAAAATGTTTTGATGTGAATAATGGTCATGAAAGCACAATAGTGGAAACGTATGGATCCTAACTAAACAGGAGGAAGAGTAAATTTCAGAGTTTTAAATGCATATTACTAGAAATAAATAGAAACATCAATGTTCTAAACTTCTATCACAAGAAGCAAGGAAAAGAATACCAAATTAATTCAAGGAATCTATAAGAAAAAATACGTTCTAATTAACGAATCAGTTGTACAGAAAGGCATATAACAGAGAAAAGTAGCAAACCCAAAGATTTATTCTTTGAAAGATAATTAATTAATATGTTCACTAATAAAATGAACAATCCCTAGCAATACAGATCAAGAAAAGATCCTGAGGACATTACAAACCATTTTATTCCAATGTATTTGAAAACTTAGTTGAAATAGACAATTTCTCTAGAGAACAAAATTCATCAAAACTAAAACAAGAAATCAAAAAAGATGCATGATCCTATAACTGCTCAAGAAAATAAACCTAAGCCAGCCACAGTGGCCCAGTGGTAACACAACCCTCCACGATGCTGAATCACGTGGGAGGTGTCAGGCTCTCACCCTGGGACACGCCTGGGTGTGCATGTGGGCCTGCGGCCACGGCTGGCTAACGCTGCAGGACAAGCACCCTGCTGGGGGCCTGTCCCCCCCACCTCCTTTCTTAAGCTTACAAAACAATACATCTTTTTTGGGAAAAATACACGTTTTCGTGGCATCATATGCAATAGAATATTAAGCATGAAATGCCTACGAAAAGTCAGATGCTATAAAAGGAGGCTGGGGGCTGGCCATGCAGCACAGTACACTGGGAATTGGATCTCACACGGCTGAATGCAGTTCAAATCCTGGCCCCAGCGGCTTTAAAACCATGCAGGACATATGTGTGCTCATGCCCGGAATCCTGACGGGATGGGGAAATGAAAGAGGATCAGGGAGTGGCCATGCCCCAGTGGGGGGGGGGGGGGGGGGGGGGGGGGGGGGGGCGGGGGGTACTTCCTCTGTCTCTGTCTGGCAAATGTAAGCACTCTCTGGCAATAAAATAAATATTTTTTAAAATGAGACTGGGTATGATGTTAGTATAAAAGGGGTCTTCAAAAAGTTCACGAAAAATGTGTACTAAGAAAAAAGTATCCATGAATTTCAAAAATAAAGTCTGCACCAAATAACTCATACTTTAATTTCACTTTCCATACAATGTTTGAAGCCCCTGTAAATATGTTAATGGATAATTGTTAATGCTACCTTTCTACTCTTTCAAGAACATTAAAAACTAATGGTAGGGCCAGCAGGTGGTGTGGTGGTCAGGGCACTAGACTCATACAGGGCTGGTCACAGTTTGAGTCCCAGATCTGGCAGCTTGGAAATTATGCTGGGCACATGCACACGTGGCCGATCCCAAGAGGAAAATGGAAGAGAAGCAGCTGCGTGTGGCCGTCTCCCCTGGAGGCCCTGGAGGGGTGATTCCTCACTTTCTCTCTCTCAGTCTCTCTCTGGCAAGTATGCCCACCCTATGGCAAAAACCTTAAAAAAAAAAAAAAAAAAAAGATTGGGAATCCCAATTCTTGCAGAAGACACAATAATCATAGAAATCAAACCTAGGATTTAGGTTGTGACAGAGATCGTATGGGTTCCCAGGAGACTTGCATATTAAAGAATATCACCCTAGATAGGAAACCTATTTGAACTGCTGTGAAACTCTAACTTACGGCGACGTTCCGAGACCGAGAATGAATAAAGCAGCCAGCCAACCACGTGCGAGAGCGCTATTACAACAGTGCTGTAAACCAGTACAGACCTGCCCCTGACTGCACATACCCACACATCACCCAGCGCTGCTGGAGTTCGTCACTCCTCTCCTCACTGAAAATCGGCTGTCTTACAATGAATACAAGTGACAGAGC